TTCCACCCAAATGCAAAGATCCCGGAATGTTCACGGTTCCTTGCAAGATTGGAGATGTCACTTTTAGTAGTGCTATGCTTGATCTTGGTGCTTCTATCAATGTCATGCCCTATTCAGTGTATGAATCATTAAATGTCGGACCCTTAAGTGAAACCGGTGTCATAATCTCTCTTGCGGATAAATCAAGTGTCTTTCCTAGAGGTGTTTTAGAAGATGTCCTAGTGCAAGTGAACCAATTAGTCTTCCCGGCGGATTTCTATGTGATTGATCTAGATGAGCAAGTGTCTTCCAAATCGGCTCTAATCTTGCTTGGGAGACCGTTTTTGAAGACGGCTAGGACAAAGATCGATGTGTATGCGGGAAGTTTGACAATGGAGTTTGATGGTGAAACAATAAGTTTTAATATTTATGATGCCATGAGATATCCTAGTGATGTTTCATCTTTGTACTTTGTTGATGTTGTTGAGCCAATTACTCAAGAATTGTTTGAGTTATCTAACGGTGATATGTTGGAGATGATCTTAAGCAAAGGATTCGATTGTGGGAAGCTAGCCGAGCAATTAAAGTTTTATTCTTTGGATCCGGAAGTTGAGAAGTTGGTAAATAAAATGGAAATGAAAAAATCCACAAGATTAGATGTCAAGCAAATTGAATTGTCCCAAACTCATACAAAATTGTCTCCATCCCTTGTTCAACCACCCGAATTGGAATTAAAGGTCTTACCTCAACACTTGAAGTATGCCTACTTGGGAAAGAATGAAACCCTTCCGGTTATCATCTCAACTCATTTAACCGAATTTGAAGAAGAGCAACTCCTCAAGGTGTTGAAGGAGCATAAAGAAGCCATGGGTTGGACGATTGCGGATATCAAGGGTTTGAGCCCCTCCACTTGTATGCACAAGATCTTAATGGAGGATGAATGCAAGCCAAGTAGAGACGCGCAAAGAAGGCTAAATCCACCAATGATGGAAGTCGTGAAGAAAGAGATATTAAAGCTTCTTGATGCGGGGATGATCTATCCAATCTCGGATAGCAAGTGGGTGAGTCCGGTGCAAGTCGTTCCAAAGAAGACGGGAATCACGGTGGTCGAGAACAACAAAGGTATGATGGTCCCCACCCGTGTGCAAAACGGGTGGAGAGTATGTATTGACTACCGCAAACTCAATGCGAGCACACGAAAAGATCATTTCCCATTGCCTTTCATTGACCAAATGTTAGAAAGGTTGGCCGGGAAATCCCATTATTGTTGTCTAGACGGGTACTCTGGTTTTCACCAAATCCCGGTGGCACCGGAGACCAAGAAAAGACAACATTTACATGCCCATTTGGTACTTTTGCATACCGGAGAATGCCATTTGGATTGTGTAACGCCCCGGCCACTTTCCAACGTTGTATGGTTAGTATCTTTTCGGATTATGTTGAAAACATAATTGAGGTTTTTATGGATGATTTCACGGTACATGGCAACTCTTTTCAAGAATGTTTGACTAATCTCACAAAAATTTTAAAAAGATGCATTGAAACAAACTTGGTTTTGAATTTTGAGAAATGTCATTTCATGGTGAGTCAAGGTCTCATTTTGGGTCACATTGTGTCTAAAAAAGGAATTGAGGTAGATAAGGCCAAAATTGATGTTATTCAAAGCTTACCTTACCCGACTTGTGTTCGGGAAGTTCGTTCTTTTCTGGGCCATGCAGGTTTCTACCGAAGGTTCATCAAGGATTTTTCAAAGATAACAAGACCAATGTGCCAACTCTTGCAAAAGGAGGTCGATTTCGAGTTCAATGAGGCGTGCAAAGAAGCTTTTGACAAGCTCAAAGAGTTGCTTACATCCGCTCCCATCATGCAAGCACCAAATTGGGATCTCCCTTTTGAGATCATGTGTGATGCAAGCAACTATGCGATTGGCGCCGTTTTGGGTCAAAAGAATGGGAGGGCCTCCCATGTGATCTATTATGCATCAAGGACACTAGACAATGCCCAAAGCAACTACTCTACCACGGAGAAGGAGCTATTGGCCATAGTGTTCGCCTTGGAGAAATTTAGACAATACCTACTTGGTACCAAGGTCATAGTGTATTCGGATCACGCAGCTCTTAAGTACTTGATGACGAAGAAAGATGCAAAGCCGAGACTCATCCGGTGGATCCTACTGTTACAAGAATTTGACTTGGAAATCCGGGATAAGAGCGGATGCGAGAACCTCGTTGCCGATCATCTAAGTCGGATCACTTCAAATGAAACTCCTCTCCCATTGCGGGACGAGTTTCCGGATGAGCATCTCTTTTCCCTTACCCAATCTATTCCTTGGTATGCCGATATCGTTAACTTTTTGGTCACAAAAAGGTATCCCGACACATTCACGCGTTCTCAAAAAGACAAGTTGAAAAGTGATGCAAAATACTATGTGTGGGATGAACCTTATTTGTGGAAACATTGTCCCGATCAAATCATTAGGCGATGTGTGCCCCAACAAGAGCACCAATCCATTTTGCAATTTTGTCATGAATTTGCTTGTGGGGGACACTTCGGACCTAGCCGGACTTTGAGAAAAGTCCTTGAATGTGGATTATTTTGGCCAACCATGTCACGCGATAGTTATATGTTTTGCAAAAGTTGTGAGCGGTGCCAAAGGACGGGAAACATTTCGCAAAAGAACCAAATGCCCCAAAATCCAATCCTTGTTTGTGAAATTTTCGACGTATGGGGGATTGATTTTATGGGCCCATTTCCCGTATCATTTGGCAACGTTTATATTTTACTCGCGGTTGACTATGTTTCTAAATGGGTTGAAGCCAAAGCCACAAGATCGGACGATGCCAAAACGGTTATCGAGTTTTTAAAGTCTAATGTTTTTGCGAGATTTGGTGTGCCTAGGGCTTTGATTAGTGATAGAGGGACGCACTTTTGCAACAAAATGATGGAGGCTCTATTGAAGAAGTATCACGTGACTCATCGTGTCTCCACTGCCTATCACCCTCAAACGAATGGTCAAGCGGAGGTCTCGAATCGTGAAGTGAAGTCTATTCTAGAGAAAACGGTGAATCCGACAAAGAAGGATTGGAGTTTGAGACTTGACGATGCCTTATGGGCATATCGGACCGCTTATAAGACCCCGATTGGAATGTCGCCCTTCAGATTAGTTTTCGGAAAACCTTGTCATCTTCCCGTCGAGTTAGAGCACCGAGCATTTTGGGCGGTCAAGAAATGCAACTTCGACATTGACGAGGCTGGAAGGCATAGGAAACTTCAACTCCAAGAGCTAGAAGAATTGAGAAACGAATCCTATGAAAACGCAAGGATTTATAAGGAGAAAACGAAGCTCTTCCACGACAAGTCCATCACCCGGAAGAATTTTGAACCGGGACATAGGGTCTTACTTTACCATTCACGGTTGAAGTTATTCCCGGGCAAATTAAGATCAAGGTGGATTGGCCCATTTGTTGTAATAAAGACTTTTGACCATGGAGCGGTGGAAATCCAAAGTGAAGAAACGGGACATATTTTCAAAGTTAACGGGCACCGATTAAAGCCATTCTATGAAAGTTTTAATGCAAGTGTTATTGAAGTCATCCACTTGGATGCACCGGAGTGTTGAACCAAGCTAGAAGGACGTCTCGCCTAAGACGTTAAAGAGAGGCATTTTTGGAAAAGCTTTATGCTTTCGTGTTTCTACGTTCGAATAAAGAAGTTTTGAAAATGTTTTGATACGTCTTTTGAAGTCATTTTTGAAGAAATCAAGAGTTTCTAGGTGTTTGGGGCATTTGGGATCAAGAACTAGTGAAGAAACGGAAGAAAACAGAGAAAAATCGATTTCCGGGAGCAGGGGTCTGCGCGACCCGCGCACGGGTGCGCGGCTGGTGTGCGCGGCCGGTCTTCAACATGCAACAAAAAATCAAGCACCAAACTGCATGATGCGCGACCCGCGCGCCCCCTCTGCGCGACCCGCGTGCTGCTTTGACGACTATCCCTATTTTGTTGACCAGCTTTGACTTTCGTTGACCAGGTGGTTTAATGAGTTGACCAACATTGACCGGGTGTTGACCACACTTGTATATGGATTAAAAACCTCCAGCAACTCTTCTTCTTCATTTCATTCTCTCAAAAACCCCTCATTCTCTCTCAAACTCTCAAGAACACATAAACCCACTTTTCACAAAAATTTGATTTCCCGGAGTTCCACCGGTCGGAATACGACGAGACCACCACCATTCTTCACCATTTTCCGTGCTCTACAAACCCCACCTAAAGTTTACTCCGATCCATCGCCGGGTCTAGGGGCGCCACCACCACCCAACTCGCGGCTTTCCGGCCATTTTCCGGCCAACTCCCACCACCTCTCGAAATTCCGACATCACCAAAGTGTTTCTTTTTCGGGGATCTTTACATCTAACCAAACAAAACCTCAAAATCTCACCAAAAATTTTCCCATAATTTTTGAGCCACCACAGCCGCCGCCGGATTTTTCACACAAATCAAGTTGAAAATATCCCTTCAATGAACAAGTCTTGCATTTAGGCACCACGAATAACCAAAGCTTGGGGTGCACGGTAGCGGATTCCGGGTTCAAGTTCAATTTTGGGATAATACGGGTATTCTCTTTCCTTGGTTTTTATTACATTGCATTGTTTCAATTCAGTAATTGCATCCAATTATGCTTTGGAAATTGCCTAAGATCGTTAGTTGTTGCCCGGTTTATTTGGAAACATTGATTTGAGAAAGGTTGAGATTGGTTAATTTGCTTGGAAATTTGTTCAAAAAATTGTTTAAACTTTGGTTGGGATTTTCTCATTTTGTCTCATATTGCTGCCGAATTTTTGTTGGGATTATCGAATTAACCGAGTGGTGTTGTTGAAACCATTTTACATTGTCAAAAGTTGGGTGTCATTATTTCTTGGATTTTTTTTTGTGTTCGGTCTAAAGATAGTTGCATTGATTTGAGAGTGGTGAGGTGAGGGATTACGTTGGTGAAGTTGTTTTTGATATTGTAGGTTTCGAAAATGGGCAAAACCACGGCTCGGACACGCACCCATGGATCATCGATCGATCCTAACCCGCAAAAGGATACCGCCGGTCCATCACGCAAAGCAGCCGGTAAACGAAAAAAAAGAGGAGAAGAGGGAAGCGATCCTTCCCTTACAAATGCTGAGATCAAAACCTATCGCTCCAATCTTCGGGGTCGCGCAATCCGGCCGACAAAATTCTACCATAAAAAGTCCATGAAAAAGCTTGGGGTGCATGATGGTGTATACCATTTGTTCATAAAACTCGGTTGGCGTGGTTTTCTTCGACTTTGTGACAGAACTTACGAGGAACCCACAATGGAATTTCTTAGCACATATGCACGAGATGATGACACGGAAGTCCTCACATTCCAGTTGAAAGGGGAGCATCATAGACTCACATACGAAGAGCTTGATTCTATCATGGGTATAGACGATCCATTCCGCATCAGCCCCCAAAATCAAGAGTACCAAGATTTTCTGCGTTACCCTGATGCAAACTTTTGGATGCAAATTTCCGGTCTCCCAACCTTCAACCCAAGCCGACAGCGAGCCAAGCACATCGTTCACCCCTGTTGGCGAATTGCTCACCGAGTCCTTACGACGAGTATCTTCGGGCGTCTCGAGCCCGGTCAAATCAACAGATGTGAGCTATTTTTCCTCCGAAGCATGAGGCGTGCACTCTCCCTCAGTTTTTCAGGCTTCTTTTTAGACAAATGTGACTCCATACGCCAACGTTCCTCAGGGGAAATTTTCATCGGGGGACTTATCACGATCATAGGTCGAGCCGTCGGCCTAGACTTCCCGGATCCCGAGTACATACCTGTCGACACCCCACCGAACTTCCTGCTAGATTGTGACACTCTCATCCGGATGGAGATGTTGCTCGATCGGGGAACCCGCACGTACAGTTGGTTAGACTCTGACAAAGCCCCGGTTTACATCCTGCCAAGTTGGATCGGTTCTTCATTCGATACAGGCGACCCCGACACTTGGCTTCCTCCAGATCAATTGACCCAAGCAGGTGTATTCCCAGAATTCGGTGATGATGAGGGTGACGACGCAGAGCAACAAGAGGAAGAAGATGACGAAGAGAACGACGAGATGCCCGAAGCTGAGGATCATTTTGACCAGCCCTCGATGCAGCAGCCGATGTTTCCGCATGATCAATTCCAGGCCCCTCCACATCATTTTGACCAGCCGCATCAGCAGGAGGGACACGAAGTCCCACCATATTTCCCCCCATGTTCTTTGACCAATTTGCCACAATGTTCTCCACGGTGCAACGCATCGACGCCCAAACGCAAGAGAATTCGAGAGCCATCCTAGATGTGGCAAGCCGTGTTGATCGATTGGAGCAGTCCTCCTCTCACACTTCCCGCCAGGTCCAGGATATGTGGGACTACCACTATCGCCACGGGCATTTCCCGCCGCCCCCCCCGATTTAGGTCCTTTCCGCCCTTTCCTCAAGCATTGAGGACAATGCTCGTTCTTAAGCTTGGGGTGGGGCATTTCATTTTCCTTTTATTTTTTTCATGCATTTTTAATTAGGTTGCATAACATTTTAGTTTTAAGCTAATTTTCATTCATTTTTTTAATTCCAAAAAGATTTTATTTTCTTCTTTTTCCACTTTTTATTTTTGCATAACATTTAGCTTAAGACATTAGCATTCATGCATTTTTGTTGTCTGTTTATTCTCACCTCTCTTGGATGCCATGGAACAGGTTCACAGTTATTGTATCATTATTGGTCCAGGATCTTGTTGCTATCTCACCCATCGAATCGGGACCACTAGCTGCAGTTTGGGATTTCATACTTGGGATCAGATGCTGGTAGCTTAAAGGGGTAAGTGATCATGGCCAGGTAGTTTCATGAAGAATTATGCATACAATACTAACAACTGTAGGATATACTATAGCAATGGGTGTTCTTAGCCTTGCGGTCACTACCGCGGAGAGGATCACACTTGATCATGTTTGAACTGTTAGGATGAAGCATTGGTGCTTGTCCCCGAGTAGAATCCATATCCGGTCTCTTTACATCACCATATCTTTTTGCGATTTTCTTAGAATTTAGAGAGTCTTTTAGTCCACATTTGGACATTTTCATTATCTTTGAAAAACCACAAGTTTGAAAAGGAGCTTACATTACATCTTTATGCTCCACACATGGTCATTTTCACACTTAGGCCATTCGGATTATATCATTACCCTTTCGGTTCCACCTACACCTTTGGGAACCAAATTTTGAGTCAAAGGGTTTTCTCATCAAAAAAAAAAAAAAAAAAACAAAAAAAAAAAAACAAAACAAAACAAAAACAAAATGAAGCATGCAAATTTTCAGTTGCAACTATCTTAGATAGGTGGCCGTTCAATTATTGAACAAATTTCCCAACATCTTAGTCACCCGGTGTTGATATTCATTTATTTAGGTTTTTATTGTATATAGATCGAGTTGTTTTTCGCAAATTGGTGATGTTAGGGAGACTGTCGAGTCGGATACTACGGGAGGTTTGGGCCAACACCAAGTGAATCGATTCCTACAACGGTGCCCGAGCGATTAAACCTAGTTACACATGAGAGAAACCGGCAAATGTGAGATCAGAGTGTACACTTAAAAAGAGCTCCACCCGAGCCCATCCAGTTGCTTTCTCCCCTACTACAATGTTCTTCATTGTATACATGTTCCATTGAGGCTGCGACTGCTCATCCCTCCTT